CTCCAAAGAAATCCTCAACCAAAAAATCTACAAAGCACTCTTCTTCCACCCTTCTTTCTAACCCTTGTTATAGACTTGAAAAGATCGGTCATCCTACCGGTTGGGCGTTCTATAGCCCTTCCACTTTTCTACTTTCGATCATCCTCCTAAAGGCTGCTACACCTTTTTTGAAATCCTATTCAAGCTTGGTCTTCGTTTCCCTCTGAGTCTTGATCTACTTCAGATCTGTGAGTGGTTCGGGCTTTCTCTCCATCAACTTCCCCCCAACGCTATTCGTTTCATGACCACTTTCATCATTCTTTGCCACGTCCGCCTTGGTCGATTCGACCTTGCCTTCTTCCACTACTGCTACGTCCCTTCCAATCAAGGTCGAGGTCTGTACTTAAAGAGTCGTAATGGTGCTCACTTTATCAACGACGTTCCCTTCAATCTTCCTAAGTGGATTGATCGCTTTATTTTCGTCCGTCCTGCTGAGCCTTTCTCTTGGCCTTCCATCCCCTTGTGTTAAAGAGGTTCCTCAGGAAGCTTCTGCTCCCCCCTCAAATCCCCTCTTCGAGCAACGAGTCCATACTTTGAATTCCAAGACTGTTGCGTCCGAAACGCTTCTTAGAGACGAGAACCTTCTCCACCACTGTGGTCTTCTCACCCACAAGACTTGTCCTCCTCTCACCAACGAGATCCTCGATCTCATTCGACTTGAAGATGATCCAGGTAGTAGTCGAGCAGATTGATCGAGTGCTCGTTCGTTTCCTCATTTTTATTCCGAGTGATTGTTACTGATCTATGTTGTGATTTTCTCGCAGAGGTGCCCAGCTTCAACATTCCCCTGAGGAAGACTCCTCTGAAGAAAAAAATCCAGGGCTGCCTCTGGCTCGACCGGCGGTCAGAATGAGGGATCGGCTAGTTCTGGTGGGCCACGACCAGAGTCACAGCAACGATCTCCTCCCCAAGGGACTCCACGACCTCCTCCGCCGCCACCGAAGGAACCACAACAGCATCCATCCCATCAACAGCAACCCCAAAACCTGCAGCAACCGCAGCACCAACAGCAGACCCGATCAGCTCCTTCACCTCCTTCTGGTCGAACGGCACAGCAGTCATCGACCTCGGCTGCTGCTGCTAAGTCCTCGAACACCTCCAAATCTGACGACCGTGCAACCAAAAACCCCGACCCTCAGCAAAGGACTGACAGTCGTAATCAAAAGCCTGACGATAGCCGCAAAACTGACGACCGTCATCGAAACGACCAACGCCAAAAAGTCGACCATCGGGCTCCCAATCCCAAGGAAGCCACTTCTTCTAAGACCACGGACAAATCCTCCGCCCTCCCCATTTCATCCAAAGCTAAAACTCCCGACAAGACTCCTCTCAACCAGCATCCTTCTCAAACCCCTTTCGCCAGTTCGACCAAGGCGCTGATCGAGTCCGGCGGTCGAGACGACACGGGTCGTGATCCGGCTTTGGGAAAACGCTCGCGCACCAACCAGGGT